ACCTTCGAGAGAGTGAAACATAGCAGCTGTGAAGTGGATGCTTGATCTCTTGATATCCTTCTTTGGGATGAAGTTTCCATCTGACTTGTTCATGAGTCAGTCACATAACTTGTGGAGTTCATGACAATAATATAGAGCTGGTTTTGCCTGCCGAATTCGCCATTTAATTAGCTATTGAGCAATGCAAAAACTGCTGATACTACTGCGGGACCTTATATATGAATGCTTAGATAGGTGTCGTATTCCCATAGGTAGATGGGGATCAGCTGAGAGTCAGCTGATGCGAGCTTGACTAACGTGACCTGCCAGAACTAATGCTACACTTGATTTTCATTAACTAACATTAACAAAGATTAATAAATACTGTAACAAATGTATTGTTCATGTTAGTAATACTTTAACTAATGTTAACAAATGAAACTGAAGACTGGAGTAATGGCTACTGAAAATTCAGCTTTGCCATCACATTAATAATTTAAAATTTAAATAAAATATATTAAAATAGAAAACATTTACTTTAAATTGTAATAATATTTTACAATATTACTGTTTTTACTGCATTTTTAATCAAATTAATGCAGCCCTGGTGATCATAAAATACTTATTTCAAAAACATGATTAAATCTTACCCACCCCAAACTTTTAAACAGTAGTGTACATATTTGCACCACTAATTAATAATAATATTTAATATTATTAATACTAAACATTTACATTTTGTTTTCTAAGGTGGTGACTTAAGGCGATGACTTGAGAAAAAACCTTAGTGAAGTTGTCTCTGCATGTTCAATAGTGATTGGAGAAAGTATTTTAACACAAAAAAATGACACACATCACCTCTATGTACAATTCACACAGGGTGCTGCTGAAAACTATGCTATAGTTGGGAGGGTTAATCATTCCAGGACAATTCCAAGTGAGGATAACAAGAGAGAGTCCAACATACAATCAGCAAAGATATACAGTATCAAATATACATCAAATATTTACATGATTCCCTCTATACTTTTATTTTTATTTACATTTTTTTTAAATTGTTGTATTGTTTCATCTCTGAACAGACCTCTTACGTATGGATGGTTCAGTGGCTGGTTCAAGTCTAAGCCTAAAGAAGACCCAAAGGAACAAATCCCAGAACCCAAACCCACCATTAGCGTATACACTCTTACATTTCATATAAAGTGATCATAAAATAATAGTCTAAGGAAGTTTGTGGTAGATCTATGTTCTGATTTAGATCTAAACAAATCTAAATCAGAACATATCATAAACTGTTGTTCTTCCATGTTGTATAAAATAACTGTATTCACTGATCATGTTTTGGAAAAGAGGAAAAACTGAAATCCTAGTCAATTATTTATAAAAACTATCAATTTGTACCATGGCACCTTTGAACTGCCATATTCTGTAGTCAATATTTCAATAATTAAAATGATTTGGAGAATTTAACTATTTAAGTTAATTTTGTCTTGCATGAATTAAGTATCCTTTGTTACACTCATCACAGTTACTTAAAGCTGATAAATCTCCTTTCCATGTTGTAAATGTATTTCTTCTTTTCAAACAAAACAATAAAGTTTTCAAACAAAACAATAAAAGCACAATGTTTTTTACAGACATTTAAGAAGGGCAGAAGTATTCAAATACTTTTTTGGAGCACTGTATACTGACAGTATTAATGATGCAACTTTTCTTTTTTTTTTTTAAACTGAGCCTTGTTTGCGGTCAAGTAACAACATTTTGGTCTGTTTCCTGTTAGGAATCAACAGCCAACTTTCCTTTTCCTTCTTCGCCCCCACCCATCCCAAAGGCATCACACCCCCAATTCAGTGGGATCAATCCCTTTTCTAGGAATGCTAGTGAGTAAATATCATCTGTACGTCTGCCTCAAATTTGATAAAAAATGCAGTAAAAAGATAATAAATTATATTCACTTTAATTCTGATTCTGGCAAAATATCAGTGCTGGTACTACTAGATCTTAGTGCTGTGTTTGACACTGTCGATCATAACATACTTCTATAGAGACTGGAAAACTGGGTTGGGCTTTCTGGGATGGTACTCAAATGGTTCAGGTCATACTTAGAAGGGAGAGGTTATTATGTGAGTATAGGAGAGCATAAGTCTAAATGGACGTCCATGACATGCGGAGTCCCACAAGGCTCAATTCTGGCTCTTGTTTAGCCTGTATATGCTCCCACTAAGTCAAATAATGAGAAAGAACCAAATTGCCTATCACAGCTATGCTGATGATACCCAGATTTACCTAGCCTTATCTCCAAATGACTACAGCCCCATTGACTCCCTCAGCCAAGGCATTGATGAAATTAAAAGTTGGATGTGCCAGAACTTTCTTCAGTTAAACAAGGAGAAAACTGAAGTTGTTGCATTTGGAAACAAAGATGAAGTTCTCAAGGTGAATGCATACCTTGACTTTAGGGGACAAACAACTAAAAATCAAGTCAAGAATCTTGGTGTGATTCTGGAGACAGACTTTAGCTTCAGTATGTCAAAGCTATAACTAAATCAGCATACTATCATCTCAAAAACATTGCAAGAATTAGATGTTTTGTTTCCAGTCAAGACTTGGAGAAACTTGTTCATGCCTTTATCACCAGCAGGGTGGACTATTGTAATGGTCTCCTCACCGGCCTTCCCAAGAAGACCATTAACAAGCTGCAGCTCATACAGAACACTGCCAGGATTCTGACAAGAACCAGAAAATCTGAGCATATCGCACCAGTCCTCAGGTCCGTACACTGGCTTCCAGTTATATTTAGGTTTGATTTTAAAGTACTTTTACTCGTATATAAATCACTCAATGGCCTAGGACCTAAATACATTGCAGATATGCTTATTGATTATAAACCTAACAGACCAGACCATCCTAACAGACATCGAATCATTAGGATCGAGTCAGTTAGAAATACCAAGGGTTCACACAAAACAAGGGGAGTCCGCTTTTAGCTATTATGCCGCCCGCAGCTGGAACCAGCTTCCAGAAGAGATCAGATGTGCTAAAACATTAGCCACATTTAAATCCAGACTCAAAACTCATCTGTTTAGCTGTGCATTAATGGAATGACCACTGTGCTACGTCCAAACTGATTGCACTGTATTTTATATATAATAATTGTCTTTCTGTGGTATAATCATCTTTAACTGTTTTAAATTCATTTTAAATCAATTTTTTTATTATTTTAAAAGTTTTTAAATTCCTTGTTTTATTGTAGTGATTTTTTAATGATTATTTTACTTCCTTTTATGTAAAGCACTTTGAATTACCATTGTGTTTGAAATGTGCTATATAAATAAACTTGCTTTGCCTTGCCTTGCCTCATCACTAACTTGGAGCTCTTAGACTGTTACACTTAATGAGCATGAGCTGACAGACTCAAACCTTTGCTGAATCACTGTGCTCGTTGTCCTGTTTGACAGCTGTCAATTTAACATTCAACCCATATGCAGACAGTTGTGGTCACAAATCCCTTGCAGAATTAGTAAAGAGGGATAATAAAATGCAGTTTATTTTTTATTTAGTAGGATAAATGACACTCCAAGCTTTCAAATGAACCCATATATGGGCTGATACCATATAAGGAAGGCTATGCAAATGAAGCATACACATTTTTAACGTGACTTTGGACCCGTATCCGGGTCCACATAGCTTAACTGGATAAAAATACAAAATATATAAACGTTTGAACGGGTTCATTTAAAATGTAGTTATTTTGTCTTGTGGACTGTATGTAAAGTTCTGTTATGTGAAATAGCTTAGTCGGTGGATTACTAAAAATTCATTTTTTATTTATTTATTTAAAATATTGAAGCATTTTTTACACTTTATTCACTTAATACATAAAGTAGTCAATAATGTTCATCAATTTTTCTCAGGGTTCTAATAAGATCTTATAAAGCTAAGAGAAAGTTGAAATTTGTTGGTCAAAAGGTGCTTTTATCTGGAATAAATATGCAATATTTATGTTTGAGATCCATATATGACCCGTATTTTTGCACAAATTAAATATTTCGAAATTTCGAACAATAGTTTTGTTAACAAGTCTAATATGATCATGATAGTCTGTGTTAAAGGACAAAAATGGTCTGGGACAATGAGTCAGAATCAAGGGTGCATGTCACAGGTAGAAATCCTGGTAATAGCATATCTATCATAGCTGTCATGCAAATATTCAGGTTTATTGTTTTGTTCATAGGGTCCCGAATTAAGGTTCTTAATTGAGGAGTAATCACCTGCTCAGGAACTCAGGGATGGACTTTCAGCCTGGTGACTAGTTTTCACATGACTAAGGGATTCCTCAGATACACCCCTGCAGTTCCCATAGAGGAGGTCAGAGGAGCGTCTGTATCTTTATATACAGTAACATCTGTGGTTACAGGAATACACTGAGGACATTGAGGTCTTTAAATAATCTGTTAAGTGTTTTGGTGCCCAGTCTTCGTTGACTGAAGACATTGAACAGCTGAGGCACAACTCCCCATGCTGAGTCTAGGGATTTGTGTCATTCCCTGTGGGGCTGGGGACATGATGAAATAGGTGCTGAGCAAAGGTGCTGTGACTTATGGAAACATGAACTTAAAACGTCTCCACAGCTGGCAGTGTCAATAAATTGTATAACATGTAACACTTCCATCCCTCATTCCACCTTCCCACACGCAAAATTATTTTAATAATTTAAGGGGCTTTTCACAATTCAAATGTTTAAGATATGGAGCTGTACAGTAGTGAAGAGGTGGGAAATGTTGTAATTGTACAGGTAGAACCTTTGGGCTGCCACTGCCTTGATTTATTCCAGAGGAAGAGATATTGATGATTTATTCAATACCTCTACCAAAAATGTATACGATTGTTTAAAAAAATTTCTAATAAAAATGAATACTATTTGTGTACGACAATGTATCTAATTAACAAGTAACAATATAAATAGTCAACTAAAAATATGGAAATATGAGCCAACATCTCTTGTTGCAATGTAGGAGAGAGGAGTTTATCAAGATGTATGCCATCTTCTTTTACCATGAGTGTGCAGATCTGGCAACAGAGGGACACATGTTAGCAGAAGTGTGGAACTCTGGGGATTAAGTCTTCTGTCCTCAAGAGAGACATGCATAGGGAATAACATGATTCCAACAACATTCACTATTCCAACACCCTCCCATGTTTCCAATACCACATTTCACACATGAATCCTGAAAAAAATGGATTTTATTAATTCTGTCGGAGTTTTAACTGCATAAAAGAAGAGGTAACAGTTCATAATTAATTTAATTCACCATATAACATGTACCACCAGCCCAATTTCCGCAACCTCAAAATACAAATACACATTTTCTCCTACTGCATACATTTAGTGCCAAAATATAGTATCACCACATACATATTTTTTAACTTGAAATAGCACTATGCATGCAACACCTCTAAGGGAATTCACAATATTCTTTATCACTTTCTCGGTTTCTCTCACACACAGAATCTACCTTGTTTGGCAAGAGGCCATAAGCTTCGAATAACATTTTACAAATGGGTCACCAGTGTGTTTACAGTGTGTACTTTTACTAGAAATATACACAGTGGTTTATTTGAAGTATTTCAACAGTGGTCCCCACAATTTCCTGCAGTTAACACTATTAAAAATAGGCACAAGTCATTTCAAATGTTTGTTTTTTTATTCTAGCTAAATATAACCATGTTGTTAAGGCTGATAGATAGATAGATAGATAGATAGATAACCCAGGCTTACTTGCTATCCTCCTTACTTCAGTAACAGTACTTAGGTAATGCAAGTCTCAGCGTCAGCATGGCTCTGCATGTGTTCTGTAAGCAGGGAATCCTGTGGGAAAGATTTACTGCACTGCCCACATACAAAGATTGTGCCCTCTCCATGCTGCTTCTGATGCCTCTTGAGTGCCGCAAGGTAGCTGAATGACATATCGCAGCCTTGGCAGTGATAGGAGCACACAGCTGTGTGAATACGCTGGTGTCGCACTAGCCGGGACGCCATGGCGAATGCCACTCCACACTCTGAGCACTTGTGTGGGCGCACTCCACTGTGAACTGTGAGATGTTCAGCGAGGTTGGAGGACTTGGTGAAAGCTTTAGAGCAAACGGAGCAGGTGTAGGGACGCACGCTGCTGTGGATTTTCCTGTGCTCTGTCATGCGACTGGCCAGGGCAAATGCTTTCCCGCACTCCGGGCAAACAAAGGGCCTCTCACCCAAATGCTTGCGCTCGTGACGGAGAAGAGATAGGGGTTTGTTGAAGGTTTGGCCACACTGCTTGCAGAGGAACGGCTTGTTGTTGGTGTGCATGTTGCGCTCGTGCTTCCGCAGGTCAGAGGAACGCACAAAGTCCTTGCCACATTCCTCACAGTTGTATGGCTTCTCTCCAGTGTGCGTTCGGATGTGTTTGCGGAAGTCAGAGGACCAAATGTAGCTTTTCTCACAAAATGGGCAATGGTATGGTCTTTCGCCTGTGTGTAGCCGCTTGTGCTGCTGAAGAGTACCTTGGTGCGAGTAGGCCTTCCCACACAGGTCACAAACATGCGGTTTAAGACCTTGGTGAGTATCAATGTGGCTCAAAAGGTTGCTAGACTTTTTGAAAGCCCAGCTGCAGTAGGGGCACTTGTATGGACGGTTTTCCATGTCTCCCTCCATTCCTCGCTTCTTCATGGCCGCAAACACAAATTGACTTCTTAAAACCTGATTCTGGGAAGAGTTCAGGTTACCCTCAACCTCGCATTCATCCCCCACAGTCTCCTGCTGATCTTGTGGAATCGCTGCCAGATCATATGGCATAGTCATTTCCACCTCCTGCTTCACTTTCATGTTGGTGATGCTGGTCGTTTCCAAGTGCTCATGATTCAGTCGGGAATCAGATCCAGGCTCAGGGTCAGATCCAAGCTCAGCCTTCACTTCGCTCTCCTTTTCAGAGGATTGTTCAGAATATTTCTCAGGAAGGTGGCATGTAGCTTGACTTCTAGAATTCTCTTGGATTGTTATTTTTTTGTTTTTATTTTCATCACAACTGGCAGAAGCACTGATGTCCTCTTCACTGGGTAGATTAAAGCTCATTTTCATGGTGTCAGTAATGTTACTCTCCACAGGCAGATAATGCCTCTTGCTGATGAGAATCTTTCTAATACTGCGTTTTGATATGTAGACATTATCTGTAAAAGCTGTTGAATTCCACAGGTCATTCATTTTAGCGACTGTAGATGATTTCTTGAGTGGAATTTAGTGCATCGACCTTTATTAACAAATTGAAATGTCTGTGTTCACAATCCCTGAAAAAGAAAAATCATAAGTTTAGTTGTCAGATTTATATACAATATCTTGAAAAATACAGTTAATCTGAATTTTACAAACTGTGAAATGTATAGACTAATACTTTACACCTCAAACAACAAAATAAATATAACATCCTGCTGCCCTACATTGAACAAGAGTTTTGGACATAACAAATATCAAGATATCAAAAAGCCAAAATTCACTACAATGCTGGTAACCCTCCTTATATATCGACTGCATTATAGATCAAATGCAATCAATTCTAAAAGAGGCCCTTGTTTATTTTATTTTAGGCTATGAATTAACTCTTGGATTTTTGAGTACTGATGGCATAATGGAGCTATTAAGGTATCCAGCATAAATTATACTAACTGGAAACCATCCAGCAGATCCTCTTGGAAGAGTTACACACTCTTTGAGCCAACAAAGATGTTGTTCTCAGCTGTCATAGTGCATAGTATGTCCTCTCAAGAACCATTAAAACATCTCGCACATGCAAAGCGTCTCTTACCTTGGCAGCACCAAGTCCACCAATGGTGATTTCAAAGAGTGCAGTTAATCCACTTCCTCTTCATGGTGGACGTTTAGATACCATAGGAGGAGCCAGAGCACAGTTAAACTTACTTCACATGGGGGAGTGCAACATCTTTTTAGCGGTGATCAGCACTTTAGAAAAACCATTTGCTGTCGGGAAAGATCAAGTTATTGACACTTTTACCCATGCCAGATGTGAGGTGCATGGGATATTTCCTGGGGAACACCACATAAACATGATGATGCAATAAAAAACCAACCAGGATTGTTTTTGTAGGCTGTAGCAAAATTTAAATATTTAATCATATTTTTTTCAGCCTATATTTTAAAAAGTAAAATGAGCCATCTTGTCCAGCCTATATACTGTATCTCTAATAGCAGTTTCTATGTTTGTTGTTCACAGATCAATTTTCACTGCAGCAAATTTTCTCATTAGTATAAATGTATGGTTGTGTTTTTTTTATCTGAGATGTTTCAATGTTTTACATTCTTTAGTTAATTTAATTAGCATCTAATTATTTCTGCTAATTCACATATTGAGTGAAAGAATGAAGAACAGGAATAATCTGCATATGTTAGGCATAACTGACAACCTGATACCCATCCAGCAGGAGCACACATAGATAAAAAAAAAAGTGTCAGAGGAAATATGAGAGGAAGAGAGCATACTGTGGATCAGCTAGTACAGGACACCTGTTTGCCTCTTAATGTTCAATCTACCCCTCAATGTAAATGCTGATGGCAGGGTATGCTGACATTGAGGCCTATACTCTCTACAGAATAACAAGACTTGGTGGATTGTTTTGGGCAGCATCTGAAGAAAAGATGTCAGAAATGTTGTCCTCCTTTCTATATACACATTTATGTAATAAAGGATTTGTTCATTCAAATAACTTGGTCTTGTTCTTTTAAGAGTCATTGTTACTGATAAGAATTATTGTTTAATATATACCGTGATAACCGTGAAATTTTCTGAGACGATTATCATACCATGAAAATCTCATACCGTTACAACCCTAGTATGTACACAATGTAACAATGCTGGCCAAAACAGTCCACCAAGGTGTGGTGTTTGTTTTGACAACTACTATAGTGTTCTTCGTCCTCTAAGAACTAGTTATGTTTACGAGTTAATGAGAGTGCAGTGAGTTACTCTAAATGTAATATAATGTTGTATGGGAGTGTATGATAGATCACATATAGGGGGAATAACATATAGGGGAGTTAACTTGTATCCTGGAACAAAATAAGTTGCAGCAATGTATGTACAGTACTGTAAGACTAGCTAGTACACTAATAGTGGCCAGACAGCAACCATAGCTCCTACGATGACACAAACCATTTCTGAACTATTTTTGCCATGTTCAGAATGAAGTATCCACTTGCCATCAGGGAACACTACTGCCATGAAGCTCTGCAACTTTAGGTTGGTAGGTAGTACATGTCAAAATAACATCCACATGATTGCCCAAAGTTTCGCAGCAGAGAACATTGCCCAGAGCCCATATCGCATCCCTGGACATCTCTTGGCCAGGTAAACAATGCACATGCACCCAACCATCCACCTGATCTAAAAGAAAACTTATTAGACCCAGTAACCTTCTTCCATTGCTCCGTGGTCCAGGTCTGATGCTCATGTGTCCACTGTAGGCACTTTCGGTGGTGGACAGAAGTCACCATGGGCACGCTGACCAGTCTGCGGTTACACAGCCCCATACGTCAACAGGGATGCACTGTGTTCAGACACTTTTCTATCATGACCAGCATTAAGGTTTTCAGTCATCTGAGTATATATACTATTTTAAACAGTTCTATCATTCTTTAAAAACGTATTATGTTTAATCAGTAATTATTCCGCTCATAAGTACAGTTTTTGTTACATTTGACATTCCAATAATACATTAACTCTTAATACATTGGTTTGGAATAATGATACTACTAGTACGTGCTCTAATATAAGCAATCATAGGTGTTATAATCTCTGGAGGATTCAGTTCATATAAAGAAAATTCACCATCAACTTGTTTGTCCTGTGAACAATGTTCAAATATCTATTTTGCATTCATTTTATTTGTTATGTCACATGTCCAGTACTCTGAATCATCCTTAAATAGAAACAGCAGCGCAACAAAGCTAAACACTGTTACTAAATATTTCTGAATTCACTTTGGTTTATTCAGATACAGAAAAACACTGATTATTCAGTCAGTATGCTTAATAGATTAATTAAGCTTAATTGAGTTGGTCATTTTGTACAGCTCATTAAAATATTTACTAAGGCCTAGACAGTTATTATTTCAGTATTTGACAGAATTGGCCACTTTAACAAACAATACAAAAAAATGTAATTTAATTTTTACAATAACATTTTACAACGTCAAATCAGTTTTATTCATATAGAACTTTACACGATGTACATTGTTTCAAATCAGCTTTACAGGAAAATATTGCAGTCCATTACCTGAAATTCCAAAGGTTTAATAATATTATTTTTAGAGTGCATATTAAGTCGATACTTTTAGGCACTCTCATGTTAAAATATTATCTTTATACACGTTGTATATAATACACTACAGACAATATGAGAAAGACTTTTAAAACACTGTGTGAATGTGATGAAATGTTTCATGGATTTAATATTCTAGCAACATTGTATCAACTATGACTTGAAGAAAAAAATTATTAAAGGGATAGTTCACCCAAAAATAAAAATTCTGCCAAAATGTACTCACCCTTAAGCTGTTACAAACCTGTTTGTTTTATTATTTTGTTATATTTTGTTTTGTTATAATTGTTAAACACAAAAGAAGAATCAAAATAAGTAAACAGTTGCTGGTCCTCATTGACTTTCATATTATTTTTATCCATACTATTACTATAGAAAGTAGACCAGCAACTGTTTGGTTACCCATATTCTTCAAAATATCTTCTTTTGTGTTCCACAGAAGTAACAAAATGTTTAACAGAACCCATTGACCCGATTATGCTTGACACAGACTGAATGGACCTACATGTGGAATCTGGATCATCAGCTCTGAGACTGGGTTGAGGTAGAGGGAGATGAATGTGATGCTCTTGACCTGCAGTTGTAAATCTCTTTATATCGAAGAATTTGTCATGTGCATTTTAATGTTAAACAGGCATGTGGCTATTGTGGCTGTGTTTACCATCATTGATCTACTGAACTGAATTACACTGAACACAGGAATATGGTGCATGTTCCGTATGATCAAAAGGAAACAAATACATATTTAAAAGTATATTCCCAAAAGCCTGAACAATTTACACATGCACACATTAATAGAAATCAACACAAGATACATGAATATCACAGATCACCAGGACATTGTAGCTACAGGGTGTCTAAAGTAAGGTTAGCTGAAAGTACAAAACAATGAAACATCCAACCTGACAGAACTGGAGAGGATCTGCAAGGAGGAATGGCAGAGGATCCCCAAATCCAGGTGTGAAAAACTTCTGTGTTGAAACAGGTGTGTTGCATCTTTCCCAAAAGATGGAAAAATTAACTTAAATGATTTTAGCAAAAGGCTGCAATATAACAAAGAGTGAAAAATGTAAGGGGGTCTGAATACTTTCCGTACCCACTGTATATATATAGATAGTTAGATAGATAGATAGATCGATCGATCAATGAATATATGTCAACAAGTATGAGCATTATAAGTTGTATATTTGTTGTTATTTTTGCGGCATTACTGCTGTTTGAATCTGTTTTTGTTTCCGATAACTTGTATTTTTCCAATAAGCATTCTTTAGAATTGCATGTATCTGCTTTTTATTTCAAGATTGTTTGTTTTTGAAGGCCAGCATAAATATTCTGGTCCTGAGGAGGAAGAGGAGGTCCTGTTCCATATAAAGAGGACATTCTGTTCTCTTTCACCACACTTCAGTCCTGGCTTTTGTTTGAAATTCACATTCAAACCAAATGGAGTAAACAACCTGATATACCACTTATATCCAGCAGAGGTCGATATTATCTTATTTATACTACAGTATGTTTACCAACACCTTTCATCAGAGGACTTGCAGGAAACGTACTAGCATCTTAGAAAACATTCGAAAAACATTCTCTTAACATAAGCTAAATTATCCTTTTACAAAATTTGAATATGAAAAATGGTCCGTGAAACACGAGAAATGTTTGATTTATGTATATAGCGATATCCTTATAGCCTATATCCAAAGTGGTAAAACTGGCAGTGTTAACTGACCTCGTTACAAATATCCACAAATAACCACAGACATCTGACCTCACCCAAACTCCCTGATCTGCAAGTTTGCATTAGGCTACTTGACCACTTCGCAAGAGGCAAGAGCAGTGGCGGCGTTTCACAAAACCATGAGGTCTGGCACTTGGGGGGTGGGGGGATGGGGATAAATAAAGTAATCCC